TGCCCTGTTCTTGTGGTTAGAAGTGGGTCACTAAGTCCAGTCTACACTCAAGGGGAGGGGGTTTCACAGGGCGTGAATTCTAGAGGAAGGGATCATTGAGGGCCAGCTTGGAGGCTGCCTGTCATAAGGATTTAAATCAGGCAGGAGGCAGGATAAGGTGAGGATGCACATGTTCTACAAGGGAGTTTGTCAGAAGTGTCTGAGCAGGGACTTAAAATACTTGCGGTTCAGGAAACGGAAGAGTTTGCATTTAGTCAGGGATATTTGGGAAGGCCTTTATGAAGGTGAGCGCAGTGGAGATGGACTCTGGGTGACTGAGTTCAGCAAGTAAAGAGGAAGTGGAAAGAGGGAGCCTGGTCGCCTGACCCTTTGCAGCAATTTCTAATGGATTTGGTTATCCGGTTCTAACCCATGGCAGGGGCGTAGTGTGCTTTCTCTACTAGACACTCATAGCAGGAGCAAGTAGTAGCTAGTATGTGTATAACGAGGGGAATAAATCTCATAAACAGATTTAGGACTTCGAAATGCAGAGCAGTCTGGGAGCATGTTATAGATGCACAACTGGGAGCCCCCCAGGGGACTGGTCTGTTATAGGCTAGCCAGTGACCACTGAGAGGTAGTTACGTGTGTGCAGGGTATTCTGTTAAAAAAGCAAAGGAGGATAATAATTTTAGAACATTTGACTGTAAACAAACCAGTTACATTATACAATTTTGCATCCTTCAAGAAGGTAAAACCTCAGCCGTCAGTTCAAATTGGGTTATCAACATGAGAAAGGCAAAGGGACGGTATACTGACTAAATGTTGTTTTTTGTTTGTTTAATTAAAAAATGTAGTTTGTGCTTTTGTTGCATCAATAAGACACAGATTTGCTTTCCATTTAATTCACAAAGGAGGTGGCTGTTTTGTTTGATTTTGTTTTTACTCATCGACAAGTAAGTGTGACCTCAGATGGAGAGGCCACTCTGAGTCATGTGTAGAATCATGTCTTTACAGCAGGGTTTTCTTTCATTTGCCTCTCAGAAAAATAGCATTCATATATAGGTGAGAGTGTGTCTATTTCTGGAGGCAGATAGATTAAAGGACCCACAAGATAGTGACCTGTTAGCTTTTTTAGGTGTTCAAAATGAATACCTGTGGCTTAACCCCTGTTCGAATGGAAAATACTTCCCCAGTCCTCAGAGCACAGGCCAGGAGATTCTTGATTCAGATGAATATCTGGCCCTATTTTATCCACTTAAATTCATCCATTTATTGAAGTCATCTTATAGTATGGAGTAGTAGAAAGAGAAGGGATGTTGGGGTGAGATTTGCATCATGGTTCTGTCTGTTGCTGGTGACCTTGGGCAACTTGCTTCAACTGCAAAATTGGGATACCATTCCCTATCTTCCAGGATTGTCGTTTGGAATAAAGTATTATGTGAGAATTATCTGAAGCAATTCCTGGAACCTCTAAGTACTTAATCAATGGGGGCTTCTCTTAAAAGTATATTTAAAAAACCAATTCTCACAATATTTCCACACTGTATGCTATGATTATGTCTATCGAATAATTAATAACGATCCTTTACAAGCCTATTCACTTGTCTTCCCCAGTGGACTCTCAGCTCCACCCAGGCAAGGGCATGCTTTGTTTTCTCTTACCGTATACGTTATGCCCTGATTTTTGCTTTTCCCCTAACTTCTGTTGGACTGAGTGGTTGAGCTTTCTTTATTTCATCCTCTCCATTCATTGTAATTCATGATGTACTTTTAGAAAGTGATCCTTAAGTTACATACACATAGCAAAGCCTAAATGTAATTATTACCTCCCCACCACTCCCAGACACGTAACCCAGTCATGCTCTTACTCTAGCCATCCCTCCTCTCTTCTGACACAATATTACTGCCTAGGACCATAGTTCTACCATGTGCAACCCCCACCCTCAATTAGTCAATATCAGTATGATGATTTTTATAGTCAGTTCTTATATTGATTTATCAATACATTGACCAGTTTTTTTTGTTGGCTATCATTCCTTGCATGCCAGTGTTTCTTTCTGAATATAGGTTTTTTTTCTCTCTCTCTTTGAAGTGAATCCTTTTTTGGTTCTTCCAATGAGGGTCTAAGAGTGGTAAACATTCTTTTACTAAAAATGCCTAATTTTTACCCTTGCTTTCGAATGATAGTTTAGCTGGATAGAGAATTTGTGTTTGACAGTTGTTTTCCTCAGCCCCTTGAATGTTTTATGGGTCTGATGCCAAAGTCCACTTCCCATGTGCCACCTATGAGCCGTGCAAGGGTCTAAGTTGAAGTAAGGATGAGCAAGAATTTAATCAAATCGACCTTCTAGAGATGGCTAACATATCTCATGGGCTGTGCACAGGACTTGCCCCCAACACCTTGAAAAGGGCTAAACAAGCAAATGCTGGTACAAGATATACATACATTTACCAGGGATTAAAGGACTCCAAGCAAGGCTTTCAAGTCTGTAGCCCATGACCCCGCTGCCACCTTTTTAACCCTCTGTGCCTGCTTTGGGGAGGGTGTAGGTGAACGCTGGCTTTAGTGTCTTTTTGCTAGGTCTGGATGTGGCTTTTATTCAAGGGAGGTTTCCCACATAAGCTGAGCTAATTTACTAAACTCTATGCTCAGGGGCGAGACCTCTGGTAGGCTTGAGTCTGGAAGCCCCCGACTTCCAGATAGATACTTAACATCCCCGCAAATCCATCTCTGCCTACAGATCATGAAGGAGGTCCGGAGAGCGCTCTGCAACGCGTCCACGGACGACAGCAAACTGCTGCTCCTCAGTGCAGTGGGCAGCGTGTTCTGCAGTGGCCTGGATTACTCCTACCTAATTGGCCGGTTGTCCAACGACCGGCGAAAGGAGAGCACCCGCATTGCAGAAGCCATCAGGTGAGCTCTGCTTGTGTTTGGACACTTGGGTACCTGCCTGGGGTTGCCAGATTGATCACTTAAAATACATCCTGCTCAGTTACATTCTTCAAACAACAAAGAAAATTTTTTTTTTAGCATAAGTATATCCCATGCAATATTTGGGATATACTTATACTAAGAAATGATTTGTTGTTTATCTGAAATTCAGATTTTAATTGGCCATCCTGTATTTCCCTGCCTAAATTAGGGATGTCTTTGCTCTTTAGGTTAGACCTCACTTTATTCTTTCGATGAAAAAGAGATTTTATTTCCTTATATTAAGCCCAGTGCTTGGCAATGCCCATGTGTTAGCCACATTAATCCTGCCCTCTGCCTCACGGTGAAATCTTTGATTTTTCTGGGTGTTCTGTGTCCTGGCGCTGACATGGCTCAGAACTGGGAGGAGGATGGAGGGGTTCCCAGGTCAGCTGTGCATTTGCAGAACCCGTGGGGTTAAGCGTGTTTCCCCTTCTTGTGTTTTTGGGGCAAAAGTTGAGATCCTGGGCCTGACATCCAATCCCAACAATCAGTATCTATTTTGGGACACTGAAGGGTGGTTTCTCTCCCCCCCCCCCATTGTTTACAGATTTATTCAAAGCAAGCGAGTGTGATTTCCAGCAAGGGCTGTCACTTGTCCTTCACCCATTCTCACTGCTGCACCTTGCACTTTGCTTAGACAAGAGTCTCAGCTCAGTGATGCTGCCAGGTCTCTTGAGAACAAACTCTTATTCCACAGGATGTCCCAGAGCCTCCGGCCACAGGTTAGGGGTTTTCTGGGCCTCCAGTCTTACTGCGCTGTGACATCGTCACCCAGAGGCTGATTCCCACGTGGCTGTGGGAGGCTTCTGGGGGTGTAGAGTTTCCAAGAGATGACACAGGGACGCCCTCACATGGGGTTCCGAGTCCCAATTCAGGGTGCAGCATCCACTGGAGTCTCGGCTCCAGAACACCTATGTGCTTCCCGTGGCAGAGCTCTTGCCAGAAGAGACGTCAAAAGCCTGAACACTGTTGTGAGGAAAGGTGTCGTGGTTTCATGCAGCTGTCAGGCTCCCTGGATGCAGACAGCCCTGGCCATGTCCACGGCGCTTTATTCTCTGCTTGGACTCAGCTGTGTCTTTTGGCAGCTGCCTTGTCACATGGGATCCCCAGTAAATGTTCCTCCTCATTCATGGGACTATTAGAAATGGGACACCCATCTGTCTGGTCTGAGGAACACCTTGGCCGTAGCTTTCATCTGGTTTATG